CTGCTAGAGAAGAAAAAGACTTTCAACATAAAGTACAGGGAACAGCATGTTTTGATAAAAGCGCCATCAGAAACTATTTGGGTCAGCTGCCCACTCCCATCAACTTAATAGGAGTCAACCCCAAGAGAAAAATCCTGGTGCTAATGAACCTGGCAAACTCTTAGATTTAAAGGCCTAGGATTTAAAATGGGGGCCTGATTTGAGACTTGTTGAAGATAAGGACTCCTGCTGCCACCCCTGATATGCAGTGATATTTCTCTGTGCCTCAGCTCTGCTCAGGGATAACTATCATAACTAACAGTAATAAAAATGCTGTTTACACATTTTGTCCACCATGTCCTGGATAGAGGAAACAAATGCCACTTAAATGGCAGACATGCAAAGAATATCCAGAGGAGGAAAAGGGTGACTTCACGGCCACCGCTGTGTGACATTGGGATGAGTCAGGATACTCAATGCCTCCAGCCAGGGCAAGCTCCAGCAAAGAGGGGGGATCCCTCTGTGAGGCCACCACTGTAACACCTCTGACTCTACACCAATTCACATAGGATTGCTGACTTAGAGCTGCTCAGCTTGAGGTAGCCTCCTGTGGATATGCCTTCTGCATTTAAACTCTGTAAGCCAGGTACAAAAGCAGAAAGCGGCAAGTGGCAAAGAGGAGCTGCACAGTTTTAATATTCTTTTGAAGAATTTTTTTTTAAATGAGTCGTTTTCCTGTGATGACTCTTTGAAGTTGCATTATGCATCAAAATAGCAGTGTAAGCAAAAAAAACAGGCAGTGTGCTGTGCTGTCTTCCATGGGCACCTAGCAGTGCTACAAGCAAGACTGAGGCAGTGGTATCTACAGCCTCTCAAGAATGTCTTCTGCACTTTTAATAGTTCTACTTGGGTGGGGGAGAGGGGGAGGTGGAGGTTTGTATCACATATCTTTCTCCTGTTGCTGAATCAAAAATAGTACGCTGAGTCATGTGTTACAGGCAGCTAGGCAGTCACCAGCCACACTGAGCACGCGTCCCAGGTCTGGATTCCCCACGGCCTCCTTCCCGTAAGGGTCTTCCCACCTCAAACAGCAGCTTTTCTTGAGTGACATCTGTAGTGCTGATTGAATCCATCTTAATGCTGCAGCACAGCCTTTCAGCAGATCCTTTGATACAAAAATGCACTCAAATAGGTGGGAATTCTTTTACTGCCTTCTGGGTCAGAGCTGTTGTGTTCAATGTATCCATCTTGGGATGGAGCATCTGCCATTTGATGAATGCAGGGCAATGCAGGAACATGAACTACAAAGAACACTGATCCTTTCCATTTTTAGTGGCAACACCTATATGACTTTGAGTACAGGAAGAGAGAAAGGTGTGTCAATAATAACCAGGAAACCTAAAATGCAGCATTTCTTCTCCCTCAACCAATACCTGAAGAACTAAACCACTTTTCCTTCTGCAGCAACCTGTAAAATGAACAGGAAATAATCTTTGGTGAATTTTCTTCCATGCTTTGTACAAGAAATAACTGTGACAGTTGCAAGCTTGGCAGTTTCACAGATTGTTCTCTAATATCAACTTTATTTTTATATTTTATTTCTCTAAGCACTTTTTCCTTATCCCACACTGAAAGTAAGCTGTGCCATCTGGCCTGCAATAATTATCTAGTAGGGGCGACTGACATACAAAGAAAGAGTGGAAGAGGAAGGAAAACACGAGGAAACCAATTCAGCTTTCAGAGGACTATTAATTTTTCATTAGTTTGATATTATTAACTATTAATAAGTAACTAGCCACAAGAATCAGTCACCACAAATGCTGCCTCCAGAAGGGCTCTCTTGTGACTGGTAACTTGCCCAGCACACAGCAGTATTTACCCACTGTCCAGATTGAGCAATGAGGATCATGGCTGGCCTCCACTCACCTCTCAGGGCAGACTGAATTTTGACACTGACCCTTCTGCTAATCTATCCTAAATATGTAAGCACTGGTCTAGTTAAACACTTTTATGTGAAGCTCTCACATCTACTTTAACATCTCTGTTCTCTCATTTCAGCATCTTCACACCTCTGCTGGTATGAATCACTTCAAATGAAAACAGTTTACTGCTTCTTGACATCTTCCCACCATGTCACTGGTGGATTTAAAATCTGTGTCTCTGACCCTCCTTTGCCATAATACCCAGCTTGCTGAGCTCACCTCTGGTTTTTATCTGCTTCACAGGGAGGTTTTCCTGCTGAAATGCACTGCCATAATACTATATTTATCGTATGCCTAGGGAGATAAGGAGACCAAATCAAACCTTGTTGCCCTCTAATTTCTTACACGTATGCCTCTTGATTTCATTAGGAAACACAACATAAAACAGATATGCCCCATGGCTATGCTGTCACTGCAAGTATTTTAGAACGATGACAAACAAATGTTCTTCAGCTCCTGTTTCTTATTAATAAACCCCACGATTCTTTTGTCCCTCTTATCGACCTCTAAACTAAGTGCATTAAACAGTGTGAACCATGTGTATAAGCTGGTAATGGTCTCTAGATTCCATAGCACATGAAAAGCAATTTGCATGGACACAGCTGGCTTCACCACACCCTTAAGAAACCGAGCAGTGGGTCACTACAAAACTCAAAGCTTCCCACTGTCTCTGTCCATGTTCTCTCCCAGTCAGGGCAACCCCCAAGCACGTCATCCGCAGCTTCCCTCCCACAGGTTTCTGTGCAGAGGAAGTGTGGAGGGAGCAGCAGTAGGAACTGCGGCACACCGCCCCAAACTGCTCCCTCAGCAGGACCCCAGGATGCCACCTATCAGAAAAAGAGTAGCAAGTTCAAAAGCTTGCTCGCGTTGAACCTCAGCTACAGAAAATGCAGCTTTGCTCGTTGCTGAGAATGAGGACTTTTCTACCTCAAAAGACAGCACTGATGTGTTCTTCAGAATGCATCATACAGAGGATGTGGGTGGTCAGCATAAGTGCAACTTCATGACAATCCTCAGAAATTTCTGTTCTCAAGTGCTTAGTACGTGGCAAAATGAAAGAGCCCTCCAAAATAAGCAGTGCCCTTTTTTCTTCCTTGCTCTGCCCCTGAAATACTGCTGAATGTTGAAAGTGAGGAAAGAATAATTTAAAATTACAAGATTTCTGAGATTCAAAGTCACCAACAAATAGACTGAAATAAATAGCTAATGATTTTAATAGAACAAATCCTGCCTTCCCCTTAATATGATCGTGCCTTTTTTGTCTAAACTTCAGAAAATTGAGCAGCTTCTTGTAAAGGGAGTGACATAAGAGCTGGTTCTGAAAGCAGCCCAACAGAGGCAAGCTCTTTCCTTCCACCCATCCGCTCCCCATCGCACAAAGAGAATTTTCTACCTCTCTGTAGCACAGATCTCCCTGAGGGAAAAGGAGGCTTGCATCAGGGCCTGAAAATAGTTGCTGAAATTGCTTCACATTTAGGTCAAATACTTCTCCATCTGAAGAGGTTTTATGTGACAACATTGAATGTATCTTACACGTTAATGCAAGGCACTCTGGAAACGGAGGAGAATCCGATGGTTTAAGTCCATGGAAAGCTAATGCTAGAATTGTATCTGTGAGCAGTGTAAAAACAGAACAGGGATAAAGAACAATGAACTTTCAAAGGAACGAAGGTGCTGAGGAAAAGCAACTGGCTTTGTTGCCAGTGCCTCTCGATGAGTGATGGAACTGGTGCAGAAAGAGGGAAAGCTGGAACATAATGTGTCAACTGGACTCAGAGAATAAATGTCATACACAAAGGCACTGCACCGTTCCCTATTTGATAAAAAAAAGGTTTCTTTTTTTTACTATTACAAATGTAAAATAAGCCTTTTCCTGTTTTCTTTACTAACTACTTGCTAATGCTAGTTTCACTGCTTTTTCATTGTGAAACAGAACAGTGCTGGTGTATGGGGCATTTGGAAATTGAATGGATACTTATTCACCTAACTGCAGTCTGATCACACTGACACTGACATTCGTGGATCTGAAATAGAAAAGTATTGAAAATATAGATACAATTTTATCATTTTAAATCAAACTGTGATTCTACCTGACCCTCACAATTTCATTTTATTAGATCCCTGAAGGTGTTCTATAGTCAGAAGGGAAGTTCTGTGACTCTGGAACATCAGTCCCATTGTTACACTGACCAGCTGTCAAAAATGTGGCCGTGTTATCGCTCAGACGGATCACCGAGCACACACGGGTCTGATCAGGGAACTCCTTCAATCAATGCCCTTCAGAGAGGATTTGCTGCCATCTCTGTGAAAACAGCTGTAGTCAGGCATCAGGTCAGTTCCATAAAGCTTATTTAGGTTTTGTTTACAGAACGTTGTATTCTTTAATTGAGTGGCAGTTTGTCCTGTTAATAGCATACTGCAGTCAATGCTACCGCTACCCCTTAATAGCGCAGGAATAAAGCTGCTGCTGGTGCTGCCATCCCCACACAGAGGAGCTTGCAGAGAGGAACCACTCCTGCTGTCACCGGCGGGGCTGGCAGGGTGAACATGGCTCCTCTGCTCTTGAGTTCAGCTAAACCCTCAGCAGGCACCAGCTGTGCAGAGGTCGGGGTGTGAATGGAAAGGAAACCATTTCCTCAGCAGTAGTATTTGTGACCGGCATCCCAAGAGAGACCATGCTGTCCTGCACAGCCCTCCTTCCTGCTGCACAAACCTCTGCTTCTTTTACAAAAGGGAGAGGAGTAAAAGCTTTTGTCTGCCGCATGCAGATACATTCCAGGATTCAGCACTGCCCTCCCATTCAAAATACCAGATTCTATTTATAGTCCCTCCTTCTCTAGCAGAGTTCACTCCAACCTAAAGCAGAGATTCATTTCCTACTGGGTGTCCCTACTGCCATGTGAGAGGGGACATTGCTTCTCATTTAGACAATTAGAATACAGAATGTTTCCTATTTATGATTAGCCTCAATTGCACGTTTTCTGCTGTTCTTTTTAGGGAAAAGCGATGCTTACTATCAAGAACACACAGCCCAAAAGGTACATTTGACTGTTTTATTTGGGAAGTGTAAAGGGTTTTAAAATAAACAAAAGGAAATGTCCAAATACATTTCGTACTGCATGTGGTAGGAGTGGCTCCATACAGTACAATATGGATGCAGCAAACCCAGCCATTTATTTAAGACATTGAGTATAATAGCACACAGTCCCAGATCTGCTCTTGTGTCGCACTACGCTGCCTGACCTTCTCGTTACTGTTTAAATTCAGCTTGCTTCATTAATTATTAATACTTTATTTCTCGATATTGATTGTTCAAGTTAGAAAAGAGCAGTTAAAAACTACCGACTTTAAGACAGACACTGCAAGACCCCCAGAACTGCAATCTCTGAGGATATAGAAACATTTGTTTTTTGAGAAAATACGTAGTTACCTAGAGATTAATCAATGCAGAATGATCGTGCAACTCAGCATGACAGTCGGAACCAAAATTTAAAGCTGCAGATTGGGATTTTCCTACTCCCAGTGCTGCCTGAAATTTCGCACCTTTAAAAAAATATAATTAGCTTTACATTTACCCCGCAATAAATAACAGCAGAACATACCTTGTGCTACCGACCTGAATTATTTTAAAAAGTAATAGAGGCCACCTCAGTGTTTTGAGTTCATGAGATCTTTCAGACGCAAAGCCCTAGCACAGTTTCCCAGTCCAAAGGCATCAGGAAGGCTCGTCAGATATGGTGAACTTGGGCTTTAGCTTGATAGATCTCTTCCGTATGGTACTTCTAGGGGAAAATGGCACTGTGTCCATAATGCTCTTGTCCTCCTCCAGCTGCCTGGCAGTGCACGAAGGGGTGGGCACTTTCACCGTGTTACCAAATTTAGAGTAGTCCACAGAGTATTGCCCGTCTTCCTCGGCCACGATGGGCACAAACCTCTGGCCCCAGAGGATTTCATCCGCCAAGTAGGAGGTTCTGGCTTGCGTGGTGATGCCGGTCGTCTCCACCACCCCTTCCAAGATGACGATGATCTCCAGGTCCTCGTGGTGGTGAAGGTTCGAGGGGGAGATGTCGTAGAGGGGGCTGTTCTTGTCTATCACGTGGTAGATGATGAGCGGGGAGACGAGGAAGATGCTGTTGCCCCCCACGGGGTTCTCCATCTGGATGTCGATCTGGTTGAGGGGCACCACTTCCCCCTCCAGGCTGGAGGTCTTCTTCACCACCTGCATGCGGATGGTGGCACTGATGATCATGCTCTTCCGGAGGTCGCCCACCCGCAGCATGAAGCACAGCTTGCCATTGCGCAGGGCGATGACCGCGTGCTTGCTGAAGATGAGGGTCTCGGCACGGCGGTGGGCTTGCGAGGTCTTCATGAAGATGCAGCCCAGCATGATGGCGTTGATCACCAGCCCCACGATGTTCTGCACAATCAGCACCAGGATGGCGGCCGGGCACTCCTCCGTCACCATGCGCCCTCCGAAGCCGATCGTCACCTGCACCTCGATGGAGAAGAGGAAGGCGGAGGTGAAGGAGTGGATGCTGGTCACGCAGGGCACAAAGCCGTCCGGGATCTCCGTGGCTGGGGTGCGCTGCAGCCGGGTGCCGTGGTCCAGGTCTCCGTGGGCGAAGGCGATGAGCCACCAGACCATGCCGAAGAGCAGCCAGCTGCAGAGGAAGGACATGGTGAAGATGAGCAGCGTGTGGGGCCACTTGAGGTCCACCAACGTGGTGAAGACGTCCTGGAGGAACCGGCCCTGCTCCCGGATGTTTTTGTGGGCCACGTTGCAGGCGCCGTTCTTGCCCACGAAGCGTGCCCGCCGCTCCCGGGCGCGGTACCGGGCGTGATCCGGCACATCCTCGGCCAGCCGGGTCAGCACGTACTCCTCGGGAATAATCCCCTTCCTCGACAGCATGGCTCCCCGCAGCCGCTCCGCCGCTCAGCGCCGCCCCATGTCCGCTGCCGGCCGGGGGCGGGGGCGGCGGCCGCGCCACGGGGCCGAGCGGGCGAACGGCGCCGCCGCAGCCCCCGCCGCAGCCGGACCGGCAGAGCGGCAGCGGGGACGTGACGGGCCGGGCCGCGGCCACCAGGGGGAGCTGAGGAGGCCGAGAGCCGGCGTGCGTGGCTGGGCTCGAGCGGTCGCGCCCTCGGTAGGGCTGTCCCAGGGCCGGTGTCGGCCCCGGCCCCGGGCGTAAGGGTTAACCGGAGATCTGGAAAAGTGCTGTTCTCCGCCTGAGGGCAGCTCGCAGCGGTTTCCAGCATTTTAAAGTGACCGTAAAGAGGCTCTGCTCCATCACTCAGTACTCAGCGGTGACGATTTGCACTCTCACAGTGATGGAAATAGTTACACAAGAGGCAGCTGTGCCTTTGGTGCCTTTTTTCCCTTCTCGTTTCTCATCGTCTTATTCTGTACCTTATCCTCCAGAGGGCGGCAACTGCATGAATATAGAATCAAAAAAATGTGTTTGGGAGAGAGGCTTAAAGAACGCGGTTCTTAGGAAGAAGCTTTTTACAGTAGGGTGGTGAGGCACTGGCACAGGTTGTCCAGAGAGGTGCTCAGTGTCCTATCCCTGGAGACAAAGTCCAACTGGATGGGGCTCGGAGCACCTGATCTAGTGTACGTGTCCCTGCTCGCTGCAGGGCTGTTGGAGCAGGTGGCCTTTAAAGGTCCCTTCCAACTCAAACGATTCTGTGATTCTAACACGCTACCGAATGGTGAACCGCTTCACAGCCTGGTTGATGATGGGATGACCTGTGCAGCCCAGTGCAGCAAGGAGTGCTGTGTCAACGCACCACGCTGCGTTTAGGAATCCCGAACTCCACAGGGCTAGAAGGGCGTTCCCTTGTTTCCACTTCTGTTCTTTATTGAGATTGTCATTTTCCACTTACCTCCTCTTGCCTTCACCTCTTGTTGGCTGAGATAGGACAGTAAAGCAAGTGGCTTCTGGTGGAGAATTTCTAGAGCAGAATGAAAGAAGCCGTGTCTTTGTGGATCAAGTAACAGATACTTAAAAGAGAAAAGTGACAGATCTTCAGTGTGAGCCAACATATTTGTGTTAAGTACTGCATGACAAATTGGGCTCATGGGAAAAACCCCATACTTGAAGGCTGTGTACAGAATCATGAGGGGTAGTCACGAGGGGTAAGTTTTTGAACCCTCAAAATAGGTTTTACATTTCAAAAATTTTTTTTCTTATCATTTTTTCCTAATTGTAGTAACTTTTCCTAATTGTAGTAACTATTCCTAATTGACTTTTCCTAATTTATATTGCCATGGTAGAATGAGGGGATAAAGTTATAAAGATTTTTATTAATTTATAGATGTCAGCAGGGTGGATCAAGCCCTATTTTCATCACCATGGGCAGCCCATCCCACCAGTATCTTTGGGATCGAGCCAAGCCTCAGCCCAGAGAAATGAACGAGTGTGGATGGGGCAGTTCCCCCATGCCATGCTGCTGCTCTGGGGCTGCTTTGCTCCCATTTCAGTACAGTACTTTGATTTATTGCCCTGCTAACTTATCTGTGAGTCTTCTTTGGTAATAACTTCTGGACCATCTATATCAACGCTGCAGGCTTAATGACTCAATAACAGCAGCGAGCCTTCCATCTTCTGGGGCTTTACAGACCCCACCAAAGAATAACCTCATTGGAGATGGCTTCTGATCACTGTTGAGACTTCAGACCTTTGGAGTAAGGGGGCAGAAAACCCCTGGGATTGGATCCCATATAAAGGGACTAGCTAAAAATACACTAAGGAAACATGCAGTGTATTCGAGCCAAGTGGTGGCTAAGAGGCATCTTGTTCACACGTTTATCCAGCAGTGTTCTACCATTAAGAAGATATATAATCTTTGGGCATGAACTAATTCTACCACGCTATTTTCCTGCAGTGACGCCTTATGACATCTAAGCTCCATTTACAACAGAAACCAGTCATTTCCTCTTTGAGATCTTATGTCTTCATACTTCAAGATCTAAAATAGTCTTCCACTTTCAAAATCCATGATATGTTGGCTCCTTTTCTCACTTCCTTTCCATGCAAGTCTGTAGAATAGGAGCTATGCCAAATTGCAGTCTTTGATCCTAGGCACATTCTTAAAAGTGTATGAAACCTCACTGTCCTGTATTTTACCTCTTGCCATTTCATTATGGGATCTTCCATAGATGACTGTAAAGTTTCTGAGAGTATCTCTGTTCAACATGAGGTTCAAGACGCTCTGCAGAATGGTGTCTTCCTAAGCCTTTATGGGATGAGCTCCTGCCTTTTGCCAGTGCTGGGCAGGAAGGAGACAGCACACGTGGTGCAGCATGGGGCAGCCGTGGGGTAGCTGCAGTAGCAACCTGCTTGGCACTTGCTGTGCCCTTCTGATGCCCTGGAAGGAAAGCTACCTGTCTTCAATTTCTGCCCCCGCTAGGCCTAATAGATGCTTAGTGCCTCAGGGTGAACACACCAATACTTCAGCAGCTGGTTTTTCTTTGAAGCTGCCCAGCAAAATGATACCCTGCAAGAAGAGATCTCTCTTAACTGCCCATTTTCTCCATCTACAGTCACAATGACAGCACTCGTGCATTTTATCTGCATAACTGTGTTCTGCCTCCCCACTTCTACCACGAGTGTAGTATTAGCAAAAGCCACATTCTCCTGTTCTCTAGGGCCAGTTTAAAGCCCTTAGATAGCACGCAAGTAATAGAAGCATAGAATTATCTGGGTTGGACCTTTCAGATCACTGAGGCCAATCATCAACCAGACCTTTCAAGTCTTACCACTAAACCACATCCCCTGTGAAACCGGTAATAATATTTCCTACAGCAGCAACAGTTCTTCCATTTCCCTGCTCTTTGCTGTGGTTCTAGAAGAGAAGTAATGCATGATAAATATCATGTCTCTCTTGATAGTGTGCATCTAGAAAATACTGTTAAAACAGCATCCATATTAATTCATTTGGCTAAAGAGGAACAGCAAACACACACACACACAAACACACACACACAAACACACACAAATCAACCAAACAAACAAAAAACAGAAACAAAAAACTAAAATCAGTCCGCAATCCACTTCCCAAATGCTGAGCTCTTCAAAAAGGGGAAAAGGACAAAAAAGGATGTGAAACAAAAGTTGCTGTGAAAAGAATACCAGTGAAGAATTCCTTTTAATCTCTCATTGCAACTCTGCCATTTTAACTGCTAGAACGAATGTTACAGTCAGGTGACAGGGCAGGAGCAGCTGTCCAGTTAAGCCACAATAATTTCAGTGATTACAAGTTTTCTTAAGTGTACATAATTTATAGGTAAGGATCACAGGGAATCCAGAAACAGTATCGGTGGGCGAAGTATGTGAAAGGAGCAGAGAATGAGTCAAGTCCCCAGGGCTCTGAGCTACACTGAAAGGTTTAATGCTTTTTGTTTACCATCTCTGGAGGGATAATTTAGAGATTAACTGCTGTATCTGGAAACGGTGTGCATTAAATACTGATACTTCATCACAGCCTCCCTCCTCTTAGCTTCCTCGCTATTTGGGAGGGAGTCTGGCCCTTGGGAATCAGTATAATATAATTCAATAGGGGTAAGTGCAAGGCAGCCTAGGAAAACCTAAAGAAATCAAATTGTAATTAATTTTTTAAAGACATTAAGGGAGAGACCAAGAGACACAAGTAGTATCAAAGAACCGCAATGAAATGTTTTATGGATTTTATATTTAGATATTAAAGTTTTACATAGTCGTATCATTAAAAGAGCAAATATGCTTTCCAGAAATACCTTTGGTATATTATTTTTTCCTTCTGCATTTAGTCAATAATAAGCATTATCTATGGTGGGGCTACAATGCATATAAAATCACACAGTAACAAAATGACAAGAGAGATTTAAGAGTTACACAAAAGCTCCATGCTGGCCACGCTTCTGTTTGATGTTGTATCTTGTCATATTTCATCTGTGCAGGTTTGGTCAACAATACTTCATGATTCTTTGGTAGCAAAATAAAAAAGAATAGTTGTATACAAAAAAGAAAGGTACATGGATAATTTATTAATGCTTTCAGGTGGAGACACTGCTCATTTTATTATAAAAGGAAAAGTTTGGATTTATTATGAAATAGTATTTACATTTTTACATTTATAGGTATTTTACATTGTTAGAAAATGAATAATACAAGTGTACTTTAAAATGCTTCATTTTTTTAAATTACTTATCTGCTTGTACAAAAGAAGCAAATACACTGTCTTCTTGTTCCAGCAGAACCTCGGGTTTGTCATACTCCAAAATAAGCCCTCTCTTCATCACAATGACCAAATCCGCATTCAGGATCGTGTGCACGCGGTGCTGAAAACAAATAAACAACATGCCAGTTCAGGGTACCCACCAAATCTATTCCTGTATATGACAGCCTTCCAGAAATTAATCTTCCTATCGAGTTTAAGACCACGTAGTCCTGCTTTTCATCCTGATTTACCATGCAAACACAGCAGACAAATATGAAGACAAAGAGCCATACAAATACTCAAGTACTTCACTTGTATACAGGTACTTGAGTGTGAAAGGTTCTACGGGTTGAGCTTAAGGACATCCCTAGCCCAGGGTCCTGTCACTGAGTGTTGCCACAAGAAGGCAGTTAGGAACATGGGAATGGGGCAAGTGTGTGTGGCACTGCTCTCCAGTGTTCTCCCAACCCTGTACTGCTTCTACTATCAAAGCCTTCTTGACATTGCTCTCAATCTCTCTCTTTCTGTTTTGTTAGCCTCCCTTATTTATTTTCACATCATTTCTGTTTTTATCGTTTGGCTGCGGGTTCAACTTTTATAACAGCAAGTGGTCACATTTGTAACCGTACCTTCTGCTTCTCCCTTATTTGAGCTATTCCTAATAAAATAGTATGCACTGGCCTTGGGATTGTTTTAACTCATACTGTTCAGTAATTTTCACTATCTCAATCAAATTCTTTGCTTCTCAGT